GTCGGGACTGGATTTTCCCGCCTCGGTCTCCCTCGTTGTTTGTTCCCTCCTCCTCGGTCCTGAGGACCCGGTCTGCCCTGCCGCACTCGGGAGGGTCCCGCGGTGAAACCACACGGTCTGGGCACCAAGGGGCTCCCTCGAGCCTTCTTCAGCCTCGGCCCGCGGGGGTGCCCGGCCACGTCCAGACCCCCCGGCCGGGGATGAGGTCGCTGGTCTTGGCGGGGCTTCTCCGCGCCCACCGAGGCACCGCGGGCGGCAGGAGCGCTTCGTGCCGCACCTCGGTCCCCAAGTTTACACCGTGCACGTCTGGGAGCGCTGGTGCATATGGAGTGTGAGGCTGTCCCTCCTGCTCCTGCGACTCGTCCTGAGGGAGCGAAGGGAGTAGGGTGCAGACACAGGGCAGGGCAGCAAGCCCCCCCCCCCTCAGCAGGCATCTTGTTCTTGACAATGTTTCTCGCCATGTCAGTCTTGGGGATGGGCAGGGAAAGGGTGTAGTTGAAAGGTGTGTATCTGATGCTCAGAGAGTCTTCGGAATTGGCCCAGAGACACACAGCAAAGGGCAGGAAGAACCCCGACTTGATTTCATCTGTGCCGATAGTTCGCCTGCCCATCTGCATAAACACATGTCAGGAGGCCAGAGCAGAGGTTAAGGTTCCAGGGGCTTAGGGATCTTGGGCTCCTGCTGAGAACCCCACCCCTCCTTTCTACCTCCCACCTTCCTAGCACCCACCCCTGCACACATTCAGGTATTAATAGAGCAAGCGGCTGTCAGGAAGGCTGCCATGTGTTTGATCTGACGTGGTTTTGTAGCCATATGTTCTCCACTTGAGGGGAGCACCCCCTCCCTCCCTTCCTCAGCCTTCCTCATTTTGCAGGATGGGGTGCAGGCAGCAATTCAGGGGCTGGGCTGACACCTTGGGTGGAGAGCTGGCAGCCTGTTGAACTGGTTGGGTGTCGCACTGATTTCCCAGGGCAGTGCTTACACTGGAGGCGACAGCTCCCCACTGTTTTAGCTGTCACTGTGGTGCGTTTGGTAGCTGGGCACTAGGCAGCTATGGGGAAGTGGTCCTTAGCACTAAGGGAAGCGTGGCAGTGCCAGAAATGACACCTGGAGAGTTTGTCATACCCCTGGCCCCAGCCCAGGTTCAGGCTGTCCTGCCTCTGCTTCCTTGTTGGCAGAGAATGAGCCCCATGTCACTGAAGCTGTGTTCTGAGAGATAACTTAGGCAGGGTCCCTCTCAAACAGGCTGACACCCTCTCCTTCCTCCCCTCAGGCCTGAAGCTCATGGGCGCCCCAGTGAAGATGACAGTGTCTCAGGGACAGCCAGTGAAGCTCAACTGCAGCGTAGAGGGGCTGGAGGAGCCTGACATCCACTGGATGAAGGACGGGGCCGTGGTCCACAGCGGGAACCAGGTGTACATCTCAGTCAGCGAGCAGCACTGGATTGGCTTCCTCAGGTGCAGGGCTGTGGAGAAAGGTGTGGGAGGCCAGCCTGGGGCTGTTGCTGTTTCCAGATGTGTGTAGTTTTAAAATTTGGCCACCTGTGGGATCTTCCAGAAGTAGGGCAGAATGAACCCACCAATTCTACCTAGCAGATCTTCCCCTGTTGACCCTGGTAAACAAGCCTGGTGTCTGTTTCCACAGCCTGAAGTCAGTAGAGCGTTCTGATGCGGGCCGGTACTGGTGCCAAGTGGAGGATGAGGGAGAAACCGAGATCTCCCAGCCAGTGTGGCTCACGGTAGAAGGTGAGGAGGCACAGCCATGTGGGCGTGTTGGCCTGGGGCAGGTGCTGTCTTCCAGTGACCAGATCTCTGAAGAAGAGTGGGGAACTCAGTGGAGACATCAGAAACCCCCACCTACTAGATTGTGGCTCTCTGAGAACCAAAAGGGCCACTAGGACCCACAACCTACAGAGTGCCCCCACTTTCAGTTGTCCGCGCAGCTAGCTTCAAGCACTCATCTGGGTCTGGACTCTGTCCTAATCAAGTGGCCCAACCAGCAGGGGGAGGGGTGAGGAAAGGTGGGGGAAGGGAGGAAGGCTCTGCAGCTGCAGGAGCTCAGAGCTGCTCAGCCCTAGAAAACAAAGTGACTAAGAAAGTAACAAAGGCCCTGAACAAGAGCTGAGGTCTGCCAGCAGAACTCTGGAAAGTGCCCACCCACTCCTCCCGCTGCTAGCCCCTCCTCCAACTCTCCCCTCACCCCAGCCTCCTGCTTTTACTCTGAGAAAGGCTGTCAGAGCAGGTCTGGGAGGGGAGTGTGGGAGCCTGCAGAATCTACCTCATGTAAGGGGGCAGCAGAAAAGCTATGCCTAAGGAAGTTGATGAATAGAAACACCCCTGCCCCCAAGTATGACACCTGTTTTGCAGTTGGCCGCACCGCTACGGAGCCTGTGGGGGCCTTCTGCATAGAGGACTTCCTGTGGGAAGCACGCGTGTCATCTGGGCAGTAGGATGCTAAGAGGTGGCAAGCCTTACTCCCACTCCTTTCTCTTCCCAGGTGTGCCATTTTTCACTGTGGAGCCAAAAGATCTGGCAGTTCCACCTAATGCCCCTTTCCAACTGTCTTGTGAGGCCGTGGGTCCCCCTGAGCCTGTCACCATTATCTGGTGGAGAGGACACACAAAGGTTGGGGGACCTGCTCCCTCTCCCTCCGTTTTAAATGTAACAGGTGAGCAGCCCTTGGAGGAGGCTTTGAGCTGGGTTCTTGCTTATGGTGAGCCTGACAGAGTTAGGATCTGAGTTTGCTGTTGAGTCCAGAACAAACCCAGATTCCTGGATGTGTGAGCTGTACCATTGCTGAGCTCATTATTCAGGTGTGTTAGGCTGGCTGGGAGGGCTGATTACTGGCCATCCTGCTGCGATTGCTTAAGATGCTGCCGGTGCTGGTGCCTGCTGGTGCTGCCGGTGCCATGGGCCTCCTTGCCTCCTTCATAGTAGTCCAGACCATGCACAACTGGTCCTGGGAAAGGAATTGTGTGAGACCAGGGGCACCCATCCCCCTCCCCTTCCCTCCCAGGGGAAGTAGCTAGAAATCAGCCCACACAGAGCTAGGGAGGAGTGTCTGCCAGACAGGGAAAAGACAAGACTCTCAGGCTGCACAGAGAAAAATGGAGGGAGGGGGTAAAGGAGAGAGGCAGGGTGGCATAAAAATACAGGGGCCTCCTCTCCTTGAAACCCTCTCCAGAAATCTCCAGATGTTTTCCCTAATAACTGTGTCTCCATACTTCCACAGTTAAACCCAAAGCAGCCACGCCTGCAAACCTTCCTGAGCCCTCAAATTCTTGGGCACTTTTTTTTTTTTGTCTTGTCGGTCATGGGGCTTGAACTCTGGGCCTGAGTGCTGTCCCTCTTCAGCTCAAGGCGAGCGCTCTACCACTTGAGCTACAGCGCCACTTCCGGTTTTCTGGTGGTTTATTGGAGATAAGAGTCTCACGGTCTTTCCTGCCCGGGCTGGCTTTGAACTGCGATCCTCAGATCTCAGCCTCCTGAGTAGCTAGGATGACAGGCGTGAGCCACCAGTGCCTAGCTTCTTGGGCACTTCTATCACATGTTTTTAAGACTTGCCCATAGGGCTGGGAAGGTGGCTCAGTGGTAGAACGCTTGCCTTGCATGCATGAGGCCCCTGGGTTCAATTCCTTAGCACCACAAAAGCAGAAAAAGCCGGAAGTGACGCTGTGGTTCAAGTGGTAGAGCGCTAGCCTTGAGCTGGAGAGCTGAAGGACAGCGCCTAGGTCCAGAGTTCAGGCCCCATGACCAAAAAGAAAAAAAAGACTTGCCCATAGTCGGACACTGGTGGCTCACGCCTGTAATCCTAGCTACTCAAGAGGCTGAGATCTGAGGATCGCAGTTCAAAGCCAGCCCAGGCAAGAAACTCCGTGACTCTTATCTCTGATAAACCACTGAGAAAATGGAAGTGGTACTGTGGTTCAAGTGGTAGAACACTAGCCTTGAGCTAAAGAGCTGAGGGACAGCCCCCAGCCCCAGGACCGACCAAAAAAAAAGACTTGCTCATCTGTGGGAAAAAAAAAAAACACACAACTTAGTTTACTGTTTCTGGTTGAGGTTTGAACTGGACCAAAAAAAAAAAAGAGAGAGAGAGAGAATTAGAGCTTGGTCTCCTGTGTGGAAAAGTGAGAAGAAAGGGATTCTCATCCACCCAGTCCCCAGCAGTTTGAAGTTTGAGAAAAGGTACAGAATGTAGGACCTGCTGGATCACGGGCAGTCCCTCTTCAGAGTGGAGGCTGGTTCAGCTGTTTCCCTCCAGATGTGCGTGGTTATGACCCTCGGGCAGCCTTCTCTATAATAAGCACTCAAGAAACTCCTACTGCACATACCACACTGTGCTGGGCACCACAGGGGACTGAGGGAACACAAAGGAGATAGAAGCCACCTTTCCAGCTCAGAAAGCATTGAGAATAATTGGGGAGGGGGGGGGTTAAGACATACATAAGGAGCTGAGAACTACTGTGAGTCAAAGAATCTGCAACTACAACAACAACTGGGCACAGAACAAACAACAAAGGCCTGGTATGCCTGATAAAGGAGTGGCCAGGAAAGGGAGGCAGCTCTGTTCCATCCGTGGGAGATGGCAGGAAGGTGGGAGGTGCCGTGTAACATTTCTCAAGGCTTACTATGTGCAGTGCTCTTTACATCACTTACCTGATGCGTAAAATTCCCCCATTTGAGAGATGAGAAAACAGAGACCTCAACCAAGCTCATTAGACTGCACAGTCCTTATTCCACTTCACTGCACTCCACTATCCTGCCCCTTCCGTTGGCTGGAGTATTTTTCAGGTCTGAACCTGAGTGCCCTCTCTCCCCAAGCCGGATTTGTGCTTGAGGGACTGATTGTGGTTTTTCTGGCCCCAGGAGTGACCCAGAGCACCGAGTTTTCCTGCGAAGCCCACAACATAAAAGGGCTGGCCACTTCTCGCTCAGCCATTGTTCGCCTCCAAGGTAGGACCTCGGGGGTCAGGCAGGGGCACTCTGAGCTCTTATTATCATTAGAACCGTTGTGGGGTGCAGCAGCTTTCCCCAGCCAGGCCTGGATCTCGGAGTGAGGGGTAGTTAGCCCATCTACCATTCCTAGTGGGAGCACCTGAGAGCCTGCTGTGGCTAAGAATAGAATTCTGACGTCACAGCAGATTTCCCATCACGAAGCAGCAGAGTGGGGGGCGGAGGGAGGAGAAGGAGCCAGCGGGAGATGGTCAAGGCTCCCGCTCAACCTTGTTTCCGCCACTTGAACGGGCAGGGGAAGCAACCTGGCAGATGACAGAGGAGACCCAAAGGGCTGGCGCACTGACGGAGGGTGGAAGGGAGGGGGGAAGCCAGCACGTGGAGGAGCTTGTCTGTGACTGCAGTGGCAGCTGCCTCTCTCCTTTTGTATCTCCCAAGGCCCCAGAGCCACCCCCACATGCCATCTTATCTTGTTCTTTGGCCAGGGCTCCTTATTCAGAGAGAGGCAGTCTCTCCACAACCTAGTCATTCTCCCAGGTATGAGCAGTTGTGCCCTACTGATTTCTGGCTTGTGCACCACTGTGTCACAGGCCCCCATCTCCCCATCCCCCACCCAGAGGTCTGACTTCAGAGCCTGTGAGGTCCATCCTCTAGTCATCTTCTCTGGTCCACTTACCACTGGATGACACTAATAGGTACACCTTGAAGCCAGGCCTTCTGCTCCCTCTTCCACATCCTTACTGACGCTGGGGTCTCTATCCACAGCACCACCTGCTGCTCCCTTCAACATCACAGTGACGAAGCTCTCCAGCAGCAATGCTAGTGTGGCCTGGATGCCAGGTGCTGATGGCCGGGCCCTGCTCCAATCCTGTACAGTGCAGGTAGGCTGGGATGAGCCCCGCAGGCTCTCTGGGACTTAACCACTTTATTCTGGCTGTCTGGCCTGGCACTTGGTAACTGTGGTATCACACTCACTAGCCCTGCCACACTCTTAGATATTGCTTCTTAGCAGGAAGACCCATGGCATGCTCTGGCAATGAAGACTGCAGACTGGCTCAAACCTGTACATTCTGCAGGTTGGAAAGCCAATCACTTGAGCAGATGAGGGTGGGGAATACCAAAAGAATGTCCCTTCCTTCCTTCTTTCTTTCCTTTTCTTTTTTCTTTTGTTCTTTCCTTGCAGTGCTGGGGATTGAATCCAGGGCCTCACATGTTTTAGGCAAGAGCTTTACTAAGCTCTATAGACTGCCTCCCTAGAAGAGTTTTGCTGACATGGGTGAAAACTTTTGATTTATCTGATGTTCTGCAATCTTACACTCCTCCCACCAGCCATCCCAAAGAAAACAGGTAGACACAGGAGAACCTAAGACTTGGAGAGTTTAAAAAAAAAAAGAGTGGGCATCTGCTCCCCAAACAAGGCAATCTTCATATTTTTTCAAGGGATTCAAGCTGAATATTTCCAAACTGTTCTTAGCAGTTCCTGCTTTGCTAAAGGCATGACTCAAGTTGTAGAGCAACTAAACTAATTAGTTCCTTTGGGTCATTCTACCAACTCTAGCTACAACACTCTGTTCCTGGGCAAAGCCTGCAGGGTCAAGAGGACAAGGCTATCCAGAGTGAGCATACTCTACATATCAGCATCTCTCACTCTGAGGGGTTGGGCCCTGGTATGACCAGGGCCTGTGTGAGCCTCTTCATTGCTGGGTCAGCTCCCAAGGGTGGACCACAGTGATATGTGTGCATTTAAGACCAAATGGCAGCCTTGGATAGACAAACGAGACCAAGCCTGGGTTTGCAGGCAGCATTGTCCATCCTTGGGCACTTAAGGTTTAATAGAATGCAGACCCTTGCCTGGAAGACAGGTCTTCCATGGCACCACCTACTCTGACTTGACTCTAAGTATATGGAGATTTACAAATGTAAGCCTGACCTTCCAGATTTATTCATTTATTTATTTATTGTCAGTTGTGGGGCTTGATCCCTGGGTCTGCGCACTGTCCTAAACTCTTTAGCTCAAAGCTATCACTCTACCACTTGAGCCACAGTACTACTTCTGGTTTTCTGGTGGTTAATTAGAGATAAGAGGCTCACAGACTTTCCTGCCAGGGCTGGCTTTGAACTGTGATCCTCAGATTTCAGCCTCCTGAGTAGCTAGGATTACAGGTATGAGCCACCAGCATCCGGCTCTAGATGTTTTTTGGTTTTTGTTTTTTTTGCCAATTATGGGACCTGAGCCTGGGCTCTGTCCCTGATCTCTTCAGCCCAAGGCTAGCGCTCTACCACTTGAGCCACAGCGTCACTTCTGGCTTTTTCTGCTTATGTGGTGCTGAGGACTCGAACTCAGGGCCCCATGCATGCAAGGGAAGCACTCTACCACTGAGCCCCCTTCCCAGATATCAGTATAGATACTTAGGATGGAGATGCAGTGGAGCCTAGCGTAACAGTTTGCATGTAGAAGGCACAGTCTTCAGTTGCTGAAAAAATAGGAAAGAATTAGATGACTGATGTTTAAATATGCAGCCCTCTAACCTTGATCAAGGATTGTACTCTGGCCCTGTGTCCCCAAAAATGTGTGGTGAGAAGCAGATGGCTCAAAGTGTCCTAAGCTTATCCTGAGATGCACTGAGAGACTTTGAGATGGCAGGTAAACAGTTACAACAAATGACAGGCACTCTGTGACAAGAACCAATTACAGAGGAACAAGCGGAGTTTTCTGGCATACTTCAGAATGGTTTTCACCAAGAAAATGATAGTTACATGGAAACATTTGTTTTTTTTCTCTGCAGTACTGGGATATGAACTCAGTACTGGCTAGCCACGCATCCTAGCACCTGAATCTTAAAGGACCAGTAGAGCTTTGCCAGGACAAGCCTAAGGAAGAGCTTCTGCAAAGACGTGGGGGTACAGGACCTGAGTGCAGGACCATGCTTGCGCCCCCTTTTACACCCTTGATTCTTTGCTCTTCTGAAGGTGACACAGGCCCCAGGAGACTGGGAGGTCCTGGCTGTTGTCGTCCCTGTGCCACCGTTTACCTGCCTGCTTCGGGACCTGGTGCCTGCCACCAACTACAGCCTCAGGGTGCGCTGTGCCAACGCCTTGGGACCGTCCCCCTATGCTGACTGGGTGCCCTTTCAGACAAAGGGTCTGGGTAAGAAGGTTGGGCAGGATGGGAGAAGAGAGAGGGGGGCTTGGCTGGAGTTGTGCATGCAGTTGATTGAGAGTGGCTAAGAGGGAAAGGTAGGCTTCTTTCAGCCTGGGGTGAATGATTTACCAAGCTGAGTAGACATGTACTGAACATCTGTGCACGCTTTACATGCCGGATTGTATGTAGTTCTTGTGGGTGGAACAGATAAGCAAACTGGAGAAGATTGGCTAATGTGATGACAATTGCTCTGGGTGGTCAAGAACATCTCCCTAAAGAGGTGCAAGTGAGGTCTGAAGGAAAAAGAATTCACGTAAACATCTAGGGGGAAAAATAGGGCACGGGCTAAGTAAGATACTGAGGCAGGAACTTGCCTTGTTCTCTAGCTGTTGTCTGGATGCTGGCCTGGCTATGGGACTGTAACCTGGGACTACCTGGGGCTGTCACCACCCTCCTGGGTGGGAGCCCTGTGATCCGAGAGCAAACCTTCCCCTATCCTTTGTTCTCAGAGCTGCTCAGTGTTTAGCTATTGGTCCAGAGATCAGTGTGGGGTATTGCAACAGAAGGACTGAGGGGTCTTAGCAACTTTGTCTCTTTGGGTACAGCCCCAGCCAGTGCTCCCCAGAACCTCCATGCCATTCGCACAGACTCAGGCCTCATCCTGGAGTGGGAAGAAGTTATCCCTGAGGGTCCTTTTGAAGCCCCCCTGGGACCTTATCAGTTGTCCTGGGTTCAAGACAATGGAACCCAGGTAAGTACTCCTCCACTTTCTCTCCTAGAGAGTTAGCCCAGGGCTGGAGGACTTGAAGAGCTTTAGAATGTCTGTCTCTGGGGGTCCTGGGCCTCCGACCACCCTCTGGGAATGTACTCCTTCTTGCCCCTAGGCAAGCAAGCTCCTCTCCTTACTGAGTCTTGTAGCGATCTGTAATGGGAATTGCTTGGGGGTCACTTTGCACGTGCTGTAGGAACATATTCTCCTCCCCTCTGCAGCTGAGGGAGGCCACAGATAAGGCTTTGTCCTCAGCCCAATCCCTTCCCATCCCCCACGGGTGCTGAGCCTTGTTTGTGTTCTGGATTGGCCTCAGCCCCACAGCCCAGAGCAGGAATGCGATGACTCCCTGAAGGTTGTGTTCCCACAGCCCCTACACTCACAGCTCCCCAGACTCCCCTGTTCCTGGCTAGGCCTTTCTGTGTCCTCCCAGCACCAGCAGAGGCCTTGTCCTCTGGCTCAGCCTGGGGTGGGGGTTGTTTCCTTGCTGCAGGGTGAGCTGACTGTGGAGGGGACCATGGCCAATCTCACAGATTGGGATCCCCAGAAGGACCTGATTGTTCGTGTGTGCGTCTCCAATGAAGTTGGCTGTGGGCCCTGGAGTCAGCCATTAATAGTGTCATCTCACGATCATGCAGGTGAGGCAGGTCGGGGCCTGGGCCGAGGGATCAGAGCCTTCAAAGCATCCTGGGGGAGAGCGAGGAGGCTGGTGGTGCTTGATCTCTTAGTAGGCCCCAAACTTAAAGTCAGCCAGTTGAGACCAGGGTTGATGTTTATATTTCATTTCCCTCTTCTCACCCCAGACCTGGCACTGAAGCCCCTGGTCTTACTATAGGTCACAGCCTCCAGGGCCTGTAACAGTCAGTATAGGAACTTTTGAATCTTCCTTGGCAGCCTCTTTCACTGGGATGCTTATTAACTTAGGAAGTCTTTTGGCCAGGCCAAGTGGCCACCATGGGACAGATATTTTTCTTTTCCCTTTTTTTTTTTTCAGTCAGTCATGGGGCTTGAAAACTAGGCCTGGGCGCTGTCCCTGAGCTCTTCAGCTCTACCGCTTGAGCCACAGCTCTACTTCCAGCCCTTTCTGTGCATGTGGTACTGAGGAATCGAACCCAGGGCCTCATGCATGCATACTGCTGAGCCACCTTCGCCCCATATTTTTCTTATTTAGGTGGTAATGGGGTTTGAACTCAGGACCTTGCGCTTGATTTGCAGGTGTTCTGTCACATGAGCTACATCTCGAGCTCTTTTTGCTTTCGTTATTTTTTTCAGACAGCATTTCACATTTTTGTCCAGGCTTGCCTGGATTATGATCCTCCTACCTATTCCTCCTACATTGCTGGAATGACAGGCATGTGCTACCATTCTAAACTTTTAATTAAGATGTAGGCTCACTAACTTTTTGCCTGAGCTGGCTTTGAACATTTTTTTCATATTTATTTATTTATTTATTGTTTTTGTCAGTCACGGGGCCTGAATTCTGGGCCTGGGCGCTGCCCCTCAGCTTTTCAGCTCAAGGTTAGTGCTCTACCACTTGAGCCACAGCTCCACTTCCAGCTTTTTCTGCTTATGTGGTGCTGAAGAATCGAACCCAGGGCCTCATGCATGCAAGGCAAGCACTGTACCACTGAGCCACCTTCCCAACCCTGGCTTTGAACATTGATCCTCCCAATTACCATCAACTGAGTAGCTGGAATTGCAGATATGTGTCACTCCTAGCCCCTGATCCTGGGAAAGTTCTAAAGGGCCTCAGTGTCAGCCTGGTTCATGCCACTGCCCCTCCCTCCCACAGGGCAGCAGGGCCCTCCTCACAGCCGCACATCCTGGGTGCCCGTGGTGCTGGGTGTGCTCACGGCCCTGGTGACCGCTGCTGCACTGGCCCTCATCCTCCTTCGGAAGAGGCGGAAGGAGACTCGGTTTGGGTAAGGGAGTGGAGCTGTGGAGGGAGAAGCAAGTGCTGACAAAGACTTGGAACTGATCCCAAGTCCTGGGTTTCCCTTTAGGCAAGCCTTTGACAGTGTCATGGCCCGCGGGGAGCCAGCCGTTCACTTCCGAGCTGCCCGGTCTTTCAACCGAGAAAGGCCTGAACGAATTGAGGCCACACGTGAGTGGTGGGAGACTCATGAGAGGAAATCTGGGCTACTTCATTCCTCACCTGCAGCCTCTTACCAACTCTTTAATTTGGTCCATGTCTGAATCGTGATGAGTGTGAGGTCTGGAGTAGTGAGAATGCACACAGACCTGCCTCGGGGGGATGGACCACCTGCACTGGGTGCCAGCCAGGTTCCTCAGTAGCTCGAAGAGGCAGGCGGAGGTTTGACTCTTGGATCAAGGGACAAGGTTGAGGGGTTGGAGGCATGGTTCAGTTTGTAGAGCACTAGCCAATGAACAAAACTGTCAGGTACTGAGTTGGAGTTCCAGTCTTAGACCTAAAAAAAAAAAAAAAAAGAGGCCAGGCTGAATCTCATTCTCACCTCCTCCCTGCAGTGGATAGCCTGGGCATCAGTGATGAACTGAAGGACAAGTTGGAAGATGTGCTCATCCCAGAGCAGCAGTTCACCCTGGGCCGGATGTTGGGCAAAGGTGTGTTGACGGTATAGGGCTGGCATGAGCTGGTAGGCTGGCTCTGGTTGTTCCTGTCATATTGAGAGCATGAATTTGTTTCAACTCCCATAAAGAAGATACAATTATGTCGTAGGCTTATGAGTTTGGAGGTTTGGGGAATGCATGGGGGCTGAAGACAGAGACTGTTGGGGCTGGGAAGGTAGCTCAGTGGTAGCATGCTTGCCTTGCATGCATGAGGCCATGTGTTCGATTCCTTAGAACCACACAAGCAGAAAAATATTGGAGGTGGCTCTGTGACTCAAGTGGTAGAGTGCTAGCTTTGAGCTGAAGAGCTGAGGGACAGCGCCCAGACTCAGAGTTCAGGCCCCACGACTGGCAAAAAAAAAAAAAAAAGTTATATAAGCTGGGCACTGGTGGCTCACGCCTGTAATCCTAGCTACTCAGAAGACTGAGATCTGAGGGTCGTGGTTCAAAGCCAGCCCAGGCAGGAAACTCCATGAGACTATTATCTCCAGTAAACCACTAGAAAACCGGAAGTGGTGCTGTGTCTCAAGTGGTAGAGTGGTAGCCTTGAGCTGAAGAGCTGAGGGACAGTGCCCTGGCCCAGAGTTCAAGCCCCACGACCGACAAAAAATAAGACAGAGACTGTGGAGTAGCTCTTGCCAGCATGATCTGCTTTGGCCTCCTCCAGTGGCCCCAGAGGCCGATGAGAGAACCCCTTCTCACTATCTCCATTTCTAGGAGAGTTTGGGTCCGTGCGAGAGGCCCAGCTGAAGCAGGAAGATGGCTCCTTTGTGAAAGTGGCTGTAAAGATGCTGAAAGGTAAGTGGAGAATAGGGGTTCTAGAGTGAGGACCTTCCTTACCTTCCCTGGAGGGTAAGGGGTGACTGATCCTGGAGTAAGCTCTGTTTTTGTTTAAGATTTGCAAGGTGAGGTGAGCTAGTGGACACTAATACAGATGCTGTCTGTGCCACATGAATAATTCAGAAGCATAAACAAAGATTTGCTCCCCCGCATTGCTCTCTGCCGGCAGCAGTCACTGTCCTCTGAATTCTTTCTTGCAATGATAACAGTTTGGGTTGTTTGAGCTGCAAGTGGAGAATTTGTTGCATAGTACTATTCTGTGGCCAGTTCTGCACATAGCTAAACTGTTTGTCTGCTTCCCTGTGAAGCTCAGAACTTGGGTGTGTGTGTGAGAGACAAAAATAAGAGACAGAGAGATACAGAGTTTTGAACTTGAGTCTTGGAGCTTTATGTTCTACCATTTGAGCCACACCCAGTCCAAAGCCCAGGACTTTTGAAGGAAAAGCCTTTGGACTTTGGAGTCTCTTGGTCAGAGCTGGGAAACGTCTCATTTCACTCCCTTCCCCCACCCACTGCTTCCAGCTGACATCATTGCCTCCAGCGACATTGAAGAGTTCCTCAGGGAAGCAGCTTGCATGAAGGAGTTTGACCATCCACACGTGGCCAAGCTTGTTGGTGAGCCCACTGTGGGGGAGGTAGATATAGAAGAGGGCTAAAAATATGGTCCATCAACAAAAGAGGGCAGCCTGGAGGAGAGCAGTTTGCATTTACATGGTGAGGAAGCTGGTGGTCCAGTAGCAGGCAGGATGTTGGCGAATGTCCTACCTCGCTCCGGGTAAGGAGCTGTGTTCCAAGACCTAGTTCAAAGGTCTGCACATGAAACCTGCTCAAGTGGGCAGACGAGGGGAAGGGAAGATGCTCTGGGATCTGGGAGCAGTAGCCAGGACCTTTCCTAGTAGTCCTCAGACCATAGCAGAACCCATAAGAAAAGAGAGAGCACAAACTGGGATGTAGGAGGGACGGACCCAGCAGGTGGGGACAGATAGGTGGAAGCTGTTTTTGACTTTTATGTGTCCAACCGATTTCCCTGTCCCTAGGGTGAGCCTCTGGAGCAGGGTAAAGGTCAGCTCCCTAGCCCCCATGGTCATCCTGCCCTTCAGTCTGATCTCCTTGTCCCTAGGGGTAAGCCTCCGGAGCAGAGCTAAAGGTCGACTCCCTATCCCCATGGTCATCCTGCCCTTCATGAAGCATGGGGACTTGCACGCCTTCCTTCTTGCCTCTCGGATTGGGGAGAACCCTTTTGTAAGTGCCTGAGGTGGGAGTGGCCTGGGGGAAATGAGTCTGAGATCTTTTCCTAGAGAGGAACGAAGCCCTGGAGCCAGGGGCTTGATGGGTTGGGTGTGTGGAGTTGGTTGGGAGCCGGAACACTCCGAGTGGCTTCATTTATCACAGCTTCCTTCTGAATGAAGCCCTGTGGGAATTGTACTCCAGACTACAGCCTTCCTGGAAGAGGGACTTGTGGAGCTTCAGGCTACTGTCTTGGCTCTTGGGCTCTTTCTCAGACTTGTCAAAACATCCTAACCTCCATCCTCTCCTTTCAATGATTTTGGGGACGATCTTTCGGCTTTCTTGCCAGGGAACCCCATTTATCCTACCCTAGCTGAGTGGGCAGGACCAACCTGATCTTGCCTTATCTGCCTACCAGAACCTGCCCCTTCAGACCCTGATCCGGTTCATGGTGGACATTGCCTGCGGCATGGAGTACCTGAGCTCCCGGAACTTCATCCATCGAGACCTGGCTGCTCGAAACTGCATGTAGGAATTCTGAAGGGCTCAGGCTGGTGGGCAGCTAGTGCCAGGAGGATGGTTTGTTAGCTCCTGCATGAGGACAGCCTGCTGTGCATGGAGACAGCCTGGCTTTAGTGAGGCTGTGAGCACAGGGAAGTGCTGACCTTGCCCTCCAATACCTTTCTCAGGCTTGCGGAGGACATGACAGTATGTGTGGCTGACTTTGGACTCTCTCGGAAAATCTATAGCGGGGACTACTACCGTCAGGGCTGTGCGTCCAAGTTGCCCGTCAAGTGGCTGGCGCTGGAGAGCCTGGCTGACAACCTGTACACTGTGCACAGTGACGTGGTGAGCCGCAGCACAGTGACACTTGGTGGTAATGCAGGCAGTGTGGACTCCAGTGTGGGTGGACCTGTGGGACCCCCAAGAGCTGGCCAGGTCTGTTCTCTGTCTAGTTGTAAGGCTCCCGAACCCCAGAGCTATTACCTGCTTAGCTCAGGAAACCTGATGTCACCCTGTCCTTCAATTTTGTGCCAGTGGGCCTTCGGAGTGACCATGTGGGAGATCATTACTCGCGGGCAGACGCCATACGCTGGCATCGAAAATGCTGAGATTTACAACTACCTCATTGGCGGGAGCCGCCTGAAACAGCCTCCAGACTGCATGGAGGACGTGTGAGTACCCTGGGAAGGAGATGGAGATGGGACCTGCCACCACGGTCCCTGGGGCAGCTTACAACCTCAAGTGGGCCTTTCTGTATGTATGTATGTATGCGTGTGTGCTTGCATACACACGCACATCTGTATGTGCTCAGTCTTAAATTTGGGGTCTTACACTTTTTTTTTTGTCTGTCATGGGGCTTGAACCCTGGACTTGGGCGCTGTCCCTCAGCTCTTCAGTTCAAGGCAAGTGCTCTACCACTTGAGCTACAGCGCCACTTCCAGTTTTCTTGTGGTTTATTGGAGATAGGAGTCTCATGGTCTTTCCTGCCCGGGCTGGCTTTGAACCACAATCCTCAGATCTCAGCCTCCTGAGTAACTAGGATTACGGGTGTGAGCCATCAGTGCCCGGCCAATATCAATAACTTTTTTTTTTTTTTTCTGGCCGTGGGGCTTGAACTCTGGACTTGGGTGCTATCCCTGCGCTCCTCAGCTCAAGGAGAGCGCTCTACTGTTTGAGCCACAGCACCACTTCCGGTCTTACACTCTTATTTCACATTTTTACTCAAGGCTGGTACTCTACCACTTTAGCCACACTTCCACTTCCAGCTAGTTGCTGGTTAATTGGAAGTAAGAGTCTCTCAGACTCCTCTGCTTGGGCTGGCTTTGATCGCCATCCTCAGATCTCAGCCTCCTGAGAAGCTAGGTTTATAGGCATGAGCCACCAGTGCCCAGCTTGCTTACTTGTCTGCTTGCTTGCTTTTTTTTTTCTTTTCTGTTCTTTTTTTCTTTTTGTAGAAATGTTTTTGTAGCTACAGAGAAAGATGACTCCCTCCCTATTTATATGCAATGTAACTTTATTTTCCCCAGCTTCTAGGGAAGAGCTGGGAAACCTAAGGGTAAGAAGGTACAGAGTTGACTGGCACTGCGGGTTCTACTCACCCCTGCCTCCTCCTTGGGACCCAGCTAATCTGAGAAAACCTTTTGGTCTGGTGGCATCCTCTTCAGATAGGATTACCTACAGCTGAGGAAAAGCTGAGCTGCTCCACTCTGTCCTTGCTTGGCACAGAGCCAGAATCCTCTCCTGGTCTTGGCCTTCTCTTGAGGGAGTAGAAGGTAGAGGGGACCCGAGATGCTGGGAAGAAAGAAGCTACCTCCTTGTTGCAAGTGCAAGGCCGTGGGAACAGGGCACGGCCTAACTATACTGTGAGCCGTGTGAGTGCTTCTGCTAGCAGTTGGATACTTTAGATATTTCATGTCATCTTCCTCCAACCCGATCAGGAAAAGACTTATTTATTCCCCCTCACCTCCTGCTTTGTACAGGAGGAAATAGGATTAAAGAGGTTAAGTAACACAGCCAAGGTCACACAGATATTAAGTGAGTGAGCTGGTATTTGAACCTAGATCCCTGTTATTATTGTTTTTGTTTGTGTGTTTTGTTGTTGTTGTTTTTGCCAGTCCTGGGCTTGAATTCAGGACCTGGGCACTGTCCCTGAGCTATCTTTTTTTGCTCAAGGCTGGCACTCTACCACTTGAGGCACAGTGCTACTTCCAGCTTTTTTTGTTTATGTGATACTGAGGAGTTGAACCCAGGGCTTCATAGCTAGGCAAGCACTCTACCACTGAGATACCTTACCAGTAACTACCCCCTCCCCATCCCCCATGGTTTAATTAGAGTATGTGCCCTCAACCATGAAACCAAGTATGATTGGTCTGTTATAGTCTTACTTCTTGACTCTGTCCAAGCCTCTGGGTTCCCAAAGAACTTTAGCTAGAATCCATAGGAAGGAATGCACAGTTATCCAGGGGATTTGTGTTCCCTTAGTTGCTGTAGGATTGTCAAGACCAGGAGAGGCAGAGGAAGGCTAATCCTTTCTGGTTTTTTTTTTTTTTGGAGGGGTCTGGTCATGGGGCCTGAACTCTGGGCCTGGGTGCTGTCCCTCAGCTCTTCAGCTCAAGGCTAGTGCTCTACCACTTGAGCCACAGCGCCACTTCCAGCTTTTTTCTTTTTGCTTATGTGGTGCTGTGGAATCAAACCCAGGGCCTCATGCATGCAAGGCAAGTGCTCTACCACTGAGCCACCTTCCCAGCCGGAAGGCTAATCCTTTACAGTGGCATCCTTCTCTAGGGCACAGGATTGGAAATGCTGGGAGCAGGCTGTGGGTACTTCACCTGTACCTGAGGGGGAAATTCAAGTGCAGGAACCAGCTCTGTCCTCTTGGAAGCTCCTATCTCCCCAAAGCTTCAGCCTCCCTCAGCCTTCACCTGAAGCTACAGAAGCTCTAGTGGGAGTAGAAACAAACCCTGGCTCAGCTCCCTCCCAGGCTAGAGTGGGTGCTGTCAGTAAAGGGTGGGTGGACACTAGCTTCCCACCAGGCCACCTGATGGACAGGTGCCAGTGGCTCCTAGCAGAGCCTGGAGAATGTCTGGCCATGTACCCATGGCTTTGGATCATTCCCACAGTCAATTTGGGTCTGGCACGATTCTAACCATTACAAGGGGCCTCATTAGAGCTGGTACATGAGACACTGCTTGGGACTTTTGTCATGGGCATTGGCAAGTGCCAGGCACATGCTCTGATCACACCTGGTCTCAGACACTTTCCACTTAGATTTTGGAGAGTCTTTGGTTATTTGTTTTTCTCACCAGAATCATTCCTTGGAACCAGTGAAAGGCTTCGCAGAGTCTGTGCGACTCCTAAAATAGTATGCACAAAAGTGTTCCTGTCAGGGAAACAGGGCTAGAAGCATGCAAAGGTATCTGTAGGCAGGGAGAGTTTAACAGTACCTGAGTGGGTGCTGCCTCATGTTGACTAGGGACAAAATGTGTATAAATGTTCAAATCTACCCCTAAAAAAGTAACCCTGAAGCCGGGAGCCGGTGGTTCACGCCTGCAATCCTAGCTACTGAGGAAGCTGAGATCTGAGGATCACAGTTCAAACCCAGCCTGGGCAGGAAAGTCCGTGAGACTATCTCCAATGAACCACCAGAAAACTGGAAGTGGTGCAGTGGCTCAAGTGGTAGAATGCTTGCCTTAAGCTGAAGAGCTGTGGGACAGCGCCCAGGCCCAGAGTTCAAGCCCCAAGACTCCCCACCCCCCAAAAAAAGTAACCCTGACTCTATGTCTAGGTTTTCTTAAATATGGAAGACTTAAAAGGATGCCTGATACGTAGTAAACCTCGTCCAGTAGAACATTGTTTTTTCTTCAATCCCAGTGCCATATGATTATGAGGCCTCTGTGTTAGGACCAATACCACCCCTCCTCCTCCTTTCTACCCCAGGTATGATCTCATGTACCAGTGCTGGAACGCGGACCCAAAGCAGCGCCCGAGCTTCACCTGCCTGCGAATGGAGCTGGAGACCATCCTGGGCCACCTGTCTGTGCTGTCCACCAGCCAGGACCCTTTGTACATCAACATTGAGAGCGCAGAGCAGCTTGCGGAGGGAGGTAGCCTGGAGCTGCCCAGCCAGCCTAGCAGTGGGACTGGAGATGGAGATGGCAGTAATGTGGGGGCAGTAGGAGGTACCCCCAGTGACTGTCGGTACATCTTCAGCCCCGGAGGTCCAACTGAGCCCACTGGGCAGGTGGAGCAGCAGCCAGAGAGTCCCATCAATGAGACCCAGAGGCTGCTGCTCTTACAGCAAGGGCTACTGCCCCACAGTAGCTGTTAGCCCGCAGACAGAGGGTACCTGGGGCTGTCCGCCTCTGGTTCTGCTGGCCGCTGTGCTGGCTGACCCCAGCCCAGGCAGCAAGGTATGGAGGCTCCTGTGGTAGCCCTCCCAGACCGCTGGCACCTGGACTGACCAAATCGCCCAATCCCAGTTCTTCCTGCAACCACTCTGGCCAACCTGACATCAGTTCAGGCCTTGGCTTGGAGGAAGTAGGCCAGACCTGGTTGCCTGAACCCAGGCATCTGGAAAGAGGGGTGCTGGTGGTGGTTATGTTTCCATGGTTACCATGGACATGAAATGCAGTGGGGGAGGATAGGTCTAGCCCTGTGGGCGCCTACCTTCTCCCCCTCTCTCCACTGTTGCTTCAGTGCAAGATGCATTTAGCTCCTCCCGCCTGGGGAGCTCAGCAGTGCCCACCATGCTTGGGTTTAAATGCCAGATTTTCTCCTGAGTCACAGAGACGCCCTTGTACTATTCCCCTTTAGGTGAGATTCGGTAAAGGGTTAGTTGTCAGGTCCCAAGCCCTGCGGCAGGAGATGGTGGGACACTCAAGTCTGAATCCTTGTCACCTTCCTGATTCCCCATCCTGCGTAGGCTGGGTGAGGTGGTGAGGAGGGTGCTTCCCTGAGTCTGGCCACCCCTTTCAGCATGCAGGGGTACCACAGTCTGGCAGAGACCATCTTGTAATGGCAGAGCACTAAGCCCAGCAAGAGGTAGGGGCTCTGACTGGCCGGCCCCAGAACAGATGAGGCGGGAGGAGTTCAGGAGCCCCCTCTCCAAGCCCTCCCACAGCCTGTCAGCATGCTTCCAAACCCCCAGACACCCCGAGACTAACAAAGGCAGCTGTGGGAGCCCAGCAGGTCCACGATGACCCTTAGACCTCCCCTCCCCTCTCTAACTGGACACCATCTTCTGACCCTAGTCTCTAGAGTGCAAACAGGCTCGATAGTTGGTGTGAGAAAGGGGGAGTTCCTGCAGTGTGACCCCAGTCCTGGCGGGGGTGCCCGGAATGCCTGGATAGGCCCTTGCTGTTAGGAACACTTCCAAGTTGTTTCAAAACAGAAATAAAATTGAAGACTAAAGAACCAAGGTTTTGTCTCTTAAATGTTTGTTTTTTTTTTTCTTCCAGATTACAAAAATGGAGCATATCTACATAGAGAAAAGTCTGGAAAGACATATGCCAAAATGTTAACAGCTGCTAACTTTATAAGACGTGACGAAGGGGACTTTTTACCCCCACTTTTCTAAGTTTTCAACATTAAGCACAAAGTGCTTTTGTAATTAGATAAAACCTAATGAGGGCTGGGAATGTAATGTGGCTTAGTGCTAGAGTGCTCGCCTAACATGCATGAAGCCCTGGGTTTGAGTCCTCAGGACAACATTCACAGAAAAAGCTGGAAGTAGTGCTGTGGCTCTCAAGTGGTAGAGTGCTAGCCTTGAGTAAAAGAAGCTCAGGGACAGTGCCCAGGCCCTGAGTTCAAGCCCCAGGACTGGGGAAAAACAACAACAAGAAGAACAAAACACCTAAAGATCACCCAGTATTAAAGATAGTCTTTCTAGATAGTTAGGGGAAAAAATGATTAAAAATGTCAAGTACCTTTTATTCCGCAACCCCTCCCCTCATCCCCCAGTGATAGCCACTGTAGCCCTTTTGAAGATGCAAGCATTTCGATCAAGTTCTTTAATGGGACAGAAGCTCTGTGCTATCTCCTATCCTTTATCCCGCTTTTCTCCCAGCCTTCACGTAGAGCCTGTCCTCAGCTTTTATCCTCCCACCTGGGCCCTAGGAATAAACGGCCAGAGAACTGTGAGCCTCTTGGGAATCAGAAAGAAAATGGGATTATTTCCAAGTAATTTCACTTCAAAGCTCTCAGAAGCTCTGAGAGCAAGCTGATGGTGGTGCATTGCAGGAGGTGTGGACATCTGAGTTATAGAGAGGAGGGCGACTGAATGCGGTATTACCATTACCTGTTACTATTACGGCTCAGGCTGAGGGCAGTGACATGGGGCGGACACTTTTGAAAGCAAATATCCTGAAAAACCTGTTGCTGGTTCTCCAGTTCTGGTTCCCACGTAGCTCACCAGACTTGAATTCCAAGCTTACAGCTGTAAGATTTTTTTTTCCCTGTTGTGATGAACTTTAACTGCAGGTAGCAATTCTCAGTGAGATAAGACTGGGAAATTATTGACAGGGAAGAGTCTGCCAATAATGGGCATTTGTTATGTGCTAGGTACTGTCGTAGCTAGAGCTTCATATCTGTTGTCCCTTACTATAGCTTTCCTAGAAGTGGGACTGTAATTATCATTCTCGAACAGATAAAACAGCCAGAGTACACAAACTAATCAATGCTAGGTATAGGGGTGAGACCCACTGGGTTAGAGACTGGAGCTAGCTAGGCCAGCCCCTTCTTCCCAGCACTCAGACAGCATGGTGAGCTCTGTTCTGATCATCTTTTAAGTCGCTGTATCTTAATCATAAGACATCTTTAAAAAAAAATTTTATTTTTAAGTGGTTGTATAAAGAAGTTCCCATGCTATAAAACAGTACATGATTACAAAGTGTCTGATAACCATATGACATCTTTTTAAACACATGGAGGAAGGGTCTGGGGATGTAGCTTTGTGGTTGACATCTTGCCTAGCACTCCAAAGGTCCGGGGTTTCTTCAGCACCAAAAAAAGGGCATGAGTTCTGATAATGGGTATAAGTGGGTGAGGCCAAGTCTAGCCTATTTAGAAATCACCTACCAGATGGTGACTCATACCTATAATCCTAGTGATTTGGTGGTAAGCCCAGAGTCAGAAGCTCACAGTCCAAGGCAGAAAAGTTTAAAAGCAAAACAGGAAAAGATTTGCTGCTATTAGAAGATTCTTAGATATCACTGAATAAAAGAAGCTAAACAAAATAATTCAAATGATTCCATTAATATGAATTGTAAAAGAGCCACACTAATTCTTGGTGCTAGCACATTCAGGCTACAAATTACATTTGGGAAATAGAGGCTAGTTAGAGATTAGAGCAGATCCCAGGGATTGCCACTGGGTGCTGGTAACATTTCCCAATGTGTGAAAAATTCAAGGGCTGTCTATTTATGTATTTTTTTCTGTCAGTTGTGGGGCTTGAACACTGGGCCTGGGTGCTGTCCCTCAGCTCTTCAGCTCAATGCGAGTGCTCCACTTCTTGAACCACAGCACCACTTCTAGTTTTCTAGTGGCTTATTGGAGGTAAGAGTCTCATGGACTTTCCTGCCTAAGCTGGCTTTGAACCATGATCCTCAGATCTCAGCTTCCTGAGTAGCTAGGATTACAGGCGTGAGCCACCAGCGCCTGGCTAGGCTGTCCATTTATGATTGTTGGACTGGTCTGTGTTGTTCTACACTGAGGCTTTGATCACTTATGTGAAATCCATTGGCCAGGGAGACCAAAGTACTTGAAGAAAAGGGACGGAGCTAATTTAATTACTGCACTAAAAATAAATTGCACCAATTATTGATAGGTGATTTATTTTTTCCTCTTGGCAGTACTAGGGTTTGAACTCAAGGCCTCACACTTGCTAGGCTGGTGCTATACCACTTGAACTGCACCTCCGGCCTGGATTTTTGCTGTTTTTTTGTTTTTGTTTCTTTGTTTCATCAAGTCATGGGACTTGAACTCAGGGGCTGGGTGCTGTCCTTGAGGGGTTTTCTTGTTCAATGCTCATGCTCTACCTTTGAGCCACAGCTCCACTTCTGGTGGTTAATTGGAGATAAGGCTCATGGACTTTTCTGCCCAGGCTGGCTTTGAACCATGATCCTCAGATCTCAGCCTCCTGAGTAACTAGGATTATTGGTATGAGCCACCAGTGTGTCTGATCTTTACTGGTTATTTTTAGAGATTAGAATTTCTTTTTTGGGGGCTGGGAAGGTGGCTCAGTGGTAGAGTGCTTGCCTTGCAAGCATGAAGCCCTGGGTTCAATTCCTCAGTACCAGGACAGCACCCAAGCCCAGAGTTCAGGCCCCACAACCGGACCCCCCAAAAAAAAAGAATTTATTTTTTTTTGGGGGGGTCGGGTCGTGAGGTCTGAACTCTGGGCCTGGGCACTGTCCCTCAGCTTTTCATCTCAAGTCTAGTACTCTACCACTTGAGCCACAGGGCCACTTCCAGCTTTTTTTTCTGCTTATGTGGTGCTGAGGAATTGAACCCAGGGCCTTATGCATAGAAGGCAAGCACTCTATCACTGAGCCACCTTCCCGGCCCCTTCTGGTACTTTTCCACCCCAGCTGGGTTTGGGTTTGGGTTTGAATCCTCTGTATCTCAGGCTGCTGAGCAGTTAGGTGTAAACTATCAGCACTCAGCTTACAGCTTCCTTTACCTAAATTCACACATACATTTTGCTTAATTTCCAGATTTGTGTCCATATATTTTAGGTACTGTAGATGAATAATGTATTTTTTTTCCTTTGTGTTCCTCTGACATTTTTTTGTATTGTTTTCCTCAAGGTTTAATGAGTACTGTCACATTGGACTGGCGATGTGGCTTAGTGGTAGAGTGCTTGTCTAGAATTCATGAAGCCTTGGGTTCAATTCCTCAGTATCACTTAAACAGCAAACTCTGGAAGTGGTGCTGTTGCTCAAGTGGTAGAGTGCTAGCCTTGAGCAAAAGAAGTTCAGGGACCACTCCCAGGCCCTGAGTTCGGTCTCCAGGACTGGCCTAAAAAAGAGAGAGAAATATTGATTTATGCATGGAGTCTTCCAGCAAGGAGTAGCAATCAAAGGTGGTTCATGCCTGTAATCCTAGATTTTTATCAGGCTGAGATCTGAGGATCCTGTTTTAAAACCAGCCTGGAAGGAAAATCCATGAGACTCTTTTTTGTTTGCTGGTCATGTGGCCTGAACTCAGGGCCTGGGCACTGTCCCTCAGCTCTTCAGCTCCAGGCTAGCACTCTACCATTTGAGCCATAGCGCCACTTCCGGCTTTTTCTGCTTATGTGGTGCTGAGGAATTGAACCCAGGGCCTCATGCATACAAGGCAAGTGCTCTACTGCTGAGCCACCTTCCCAGCCCCTCCATGAGACTCTTATCTCCAGTTAACCACAAAAAGAAGCTAAAGTAGAGCTGTGGTTCAAGTGGTTGTATGCTAGCCTTGAGCAAAAAGAGACAGTGCCCAGGACCTGAGTTTAAGCCCCAGGACTGGCACCAGAAAAAAAGTAGCATTTAGAATCAGGTTCCACGGATTTTCCTAGTTCCTTTATCTTTCCACCCTACCACCAAGCTATGTCCCCAACTCCTCCCATTTCACCCTTGCCTACCCCTACCCCAAGCCTTCCTGATCCAGACTGGCTGAAGACTCTTTGGTTTTGAAGCTGTCTCTCCTAGAAGCTGTGCAGTTTGTCTTCAGGATTCTCATTCCTCTTTTACAATTATAATCATCTTTCCCTGCCCCAATGTGAACAGTGTGAGCACAGGAATGCTATATGCTTTATCCATAGCTGTAGCCCTTGCATCATTTTTAGGCTAGCGCTTTACAACTTGAGCCACAATGCCACTTCCGGCTTTTTCTGCTTATGTGGTGCTGAGGAATTGAACCCACGGCCTCATGCATGCAAGGCAAGCATTCTACCACTGAGCCACCTTCCCAGACCTAGCCCCTGCATCTTAGTGCAGAGTAGGCAGGTTGTAAACATTCATTAAATGGTTGTGGGTGTAGAGGAGAGTCCAATAACATTTACCTGGAAGGTGACATTCACCTAGGATGGCGAAGGTATTAACTACTGTTTCTGGCACACAGGGAACAACAACACCCTAATATTTCACATGGCCTTTGAGCATCAACTGTAACCAAGTATACTGACTGTGGACAGAAATATAGCCAAAGGTCAGTAACTGTTAGGCATCCCTTCCCCAAATTCCTGAATCCCTGGGATAAAGCAAAGAATGTGTGTGTGTGTGTGTGTGTGTGTGTGTGTGTGTGTGTGTGTGTGTGTGTGATCATGTGTGTGTGATCGTGCGTGTGTGATCATGTGTGTGATCATGTGTGTGTGATCATGTGTGTGTGTGATCGTGTGTGTGTGGTCATGTGTGTGTGATCGTGTGTGTGTGATCATGTGT